GCAGATGCAGGAATCCAGAGTCCACCTCTGAAATGTTGCTTTTGATCGTTACATAGATGAACTGCAAAAACTTGCAGACTTGGAAGAATGATCTCTCATTCCCAACCCCTATAATGTTTTCTTGAGTGGGAGAAAACAAAATTATTTCTTCCTTTCTGCCTTCATGAAGTTCCCAGTAAGGGAAAACAAAGTCAAGAGACACAAAACTTGTCTGTAAATCCTACACTTGCATATTAACACATCTCATTTTAATAAGCAGCCAATAAAACATTAATCCTGTCCTCATGGCTATAAGAAAAATGATCATTATTCTGTTGCTAATTAAGAATGCTCTTGTTCCCTAAACCAGTATTATATATATCACAAAGATCTGACTTATGCCTTACCTAGGACTGTGAGTTTTGTCCCACTGCCAAAGTTCAGTCTTTCATTATTCACACTGTTTTGCAGCTGCAGGAAAACCTCACCTCTCCTCTCAGTCCTCTGAGACAAATCTGTGGACTAACCCTCCCTTCATGCAGTCCCAGTAAAAGAAAAAAACACAAAGTACATTAAGTTTTGGTCCCCTAAAAAAAGAGAGAGGTCTGCAAGAGAACACTACCACATCTGTGTGCCTAACCAGGTGAGATCTCAGAAATCCCTCTTCCAGAACTCTTTTGCTCCAGGCTTAGATGAACTGGTTGGTGGAGCTTCCATCACTTCTTTAAAAGATAAATGTATTTAGATAAGTGCACTATTAAAAAAATATTTCCCACATGCAGGCAGAGTAATTTTCTCTGCTTGTTTTCAATTAAACAGCCTCATTTCCTTAATTTTCTCATTTCCAATCAACATCATGACTATTCGCTTGTGAAATAAATGGCTTTTTTTTTTTTTCTACTCACAAAATAATTTGTAACACAGGACCCTGGTTCACTCTCCCCATTGTAGTGGTTCCTAAACATCCCACCCTTTCTCCCTCTGTGGAAGGAAGTCTCTGCTTTTATTCTCTCTGTTCTCCTAGCTACGATTATTAAACTTAGCTGCATAATTGACTATGGTCAATGGGGGCCAGTGTATTGTTTTTCATCAGCTCAGACGCCTCAGATTCACCCTGGATATAAAAAAAAAACATTCTGATCACTGAATTTTTCCTATGGAGATTGAATTTTATCACTTGTAATAATTTTACTCTGCAGTGGAATGGTGTGGTAAAAAAAGCCTGAGACACCAATTCTTCTGACTCCAGGAGCAATACAATGAGAATAAGAGATCACCATCATCAGTCTTGGAAGGGACCTTTTTTTCCCCTGGATTTGGAAAAAAATTTCAAATCTGGAAGTGAGAACCATTCCACTGCTTTTAGTGGTGGAATGAAATACTTTTTTACTTTTTTGAATGAAGTACTTTTTTACTACTTTTAGTAGTGAGAGCTACTTGTATTTGAAGTTAACAGCATACTCTTTTTCTGTGATTTTCAGTGGCCTCCTAGCATCTCTTCTGAAATGGTAAGATTGTTGTCCTAAATGATGTATTTATCACCATCCTGACAAGCCTGTTTTGTGGAAAGAAACTTGCTGTGCTGTGGAGAGTTGTTTTCTATAACAATGAGGAATTAGACAGCTTCAGAGTGCTGTTAGTTTTGCTTATGATAAAGCTGAGTATTTATTTGTGGCTTCTGCTTTGTCAACTAAAAATGGTATTGCACTTACTTGTCTTTCCCCCTTATCTGAGAGTGTACATGCTTCATTTTACCCTGGAAAGATCCAAATAGTTTAAGTTTGTACAGTCCTGATTTTGCTTTCTAGACTTGTCTAAAGCGTACCTGTAACTCAGCTGTTTCCAGACAGCCTTTCATTGAGTTTTCCAGGTCAGCTGTAGCCCCAGGAGAAGTAGCATTGTGGAGAATAGTTACACTGTTGGGGAACAGTGATTTTTGCAGGCGTTGATTTATTAAGACAATATACTTGTAATATGCACATATATTTAAGCCATTCCTCATCTTAATTCTTTCTATGGACTTTTCATTCACTGAAAATACATTCATGCCATTCTCCAAAGTGAAATGTGCTGATGTTCTAAACTCAGTCACTTCTCCAAAGTGGATTGGGTTACTAGCACATTGGGAAAACACCAGTTTAATAATGCTAGAGAGAATAAGTTCGAAGTGAAGTTCTCTAAAGAGAAGACCTGGGATTTGAAGGGATTTAAAAGAGAAAATAAAAAATTCTTACCGATTACTGTAAGTTTTGTGCCATCGCCGAAAGTCACTTTATTGATAATCACAGTGACAAAGCACTGCATCATAAGCTAAGAAAAGGTTTGCACAGCAGCTGACTTTAGTAAGCAGAAGCTTAAGCAATGTTTACTGGATCTGTAACCCAGTTGATCCCTCAATATTTGTTTGAAGGGCTTTGGAAGATAATCAGCTTGAAATCCCATTGTAGAATCTATAGCATTTAAAGAAAGGATTTCCTAGAGTTTTTTGAGACTTATTTTCATTGTCTACGTTTCACTTCAAGTTGTTTTACAGCTTTTCTTTAGTCTCCATGTTATCTCTTTGATATTACCTGCTATTCTCATTTTTCAGAAGCAGAAACCATGCAGATGTACCCAAAGTGGTAGAGATTTCCATGTCTAGAAACGGAATTCCTCTACAACTACTGTCAGTCTTGTACTCTAAGCATTGTGAAGCTTTCCCTTCTGTAACTTATGGAGTTAATAATCAAATAATACTTGCTTTGTGGTTGTCATAGTCACATGCCTTTTCATAAAAGTCATTTGCCTTTGTGGCACTGAGCTAAACCAAATCCATTTGTTTTCCCTTCAGTGGCAGGCTAGACATCTTGAATAGTCTTTCAGGAGCCCATTCAAATTTCTGATAGGCTAAAAGTAATCCACACAAGGAGAGTCTGGAAGAAAGAGTTGGCTGGTGTCAGACAAACCCTTGATATCCATTAGGAAGAACTTCAGTGAGACAATGTGGAGAAGGAATAGAGAAAAATCTTGTGCTCACAGGCATGAGTAAGTCAGTGGTCACTGAAGGCTTATTGAAGAGAGAAAACCCAAACACATTTAATATAGTGCCTCTGAGAGATACCTGCTCCTGCTACGTGTCAGAATTCTTTGTCTTTCTATCTCATTAATAAAGAACCATATTGTGGTCTGTTGCAAACATTATCACATCAGAAAAAAAACTAATTCTCTGCTTCACATGCTCTGATAGGTTTTAGGTGCATCTGTTGTCAATCTGGTTTGCTGAAAATTATCTCAATGTTTTGGAGTTTTCTGGCTTGTTGTCCAGAGATGGCAGGCTTGGTTCTCAGATGATGAAAGCAAGTCCTAGCATACTACGTCTGTCATGAAAAGCCAAGACAGAGCATGCCCACTGTGCTGCAGAATTCTCTGTAGGTGTCTTAACACGCTCTACCACAAGGCTTCTGCACATCTGGGTTTTTGTAAAGGTCTCCTGGGGAATGTATCATTGTGGATCCCCCTGTCCCCACAATGATACAACCTCATACAAAAACAATCACACCCATGGCTCTGCCCTCATATTTTTGTCACTCAGTCACCATGAAAAAGTGCCATAGGAACCACAGGCCACATCCTTCCTCTGCCATTGCTGTTTCTGTGTGATAGTCAAACTACCTCTTAGTGTGTCCATTATCCCTGAATTTATAATCACGACTTTTTTTTTCCCCTATAAACAAAAAGATAATACATTTTTTCTTCTACTAGCTGGTTTTAAATGCAGTTATTTTTCATCTGGTAACTTCATGACAGTGTTCATGCTGCTTTCCTTCCCACTCTTTTCTACTTCTGCCCTAAGATGATGAGCAGACCTCAAGCCCACAGTAACCAGTTTGTATTGGGAGTGATTTGCTTCATACAGACTGGTGTCTGTATTGTGATTGTGAATCTCGTCTCTGGTTTGTGCTTCACTTGTCACCATTGCTCTGAAAGAGAGGGAAGTAGGATGCTGAGCTCTGAAGTCTGTATTCATCTGACTGCCCTGTTACAGGAAGCAGAAGTAGTGGCTTCTCCCAGATACCTGTGACCCTGTGTAAACACTTTATCTAGAAGTAAGAGCATGTCTTCATATTGGAGACTGTCTGAAGGGTAGGGACTGCCAGTGACAAGTAACAGGACATTTTTATCTCCCTCTGTTACACGTAACTAAATGGAGACACAAACCTGTATTTATTCCCCCATAGGTTTGTCCAGGTATGATGTAACTCCCAAGAGGGAAAGATCTGTGCCAGTGAGACAGTGTGTGCCAGCACACACTGAGGCAACCCAGGGGGGACAGATCCATGAACAAACCAGTTTGGGGCATACACACCACATACTGGCATAGTCTTCTCACATAAAAGGTCAACACATAGTCACCAACATGACCAAGTACCTGCAGTAAGCATGTTATTCTTACTGCTTTTTAATGGTTTCACTTCAATCTGTCTTGACATAAAAAAATGGCTGCAAGTACAGGACATAAACCTTTAAAACAAGGTAATTCTACTAGGAAAATCGCAAAGTATTTTCTCTTGTTTTCAGATATCACAGAAGAACCCATCATTTCTGAAACAGTCTGTTCAGCTGGGAACAGCTGCTAGTGTCCCAGGGAAGGAAATGAGAACCATAGACTAAGCTGAAATCTTTAGGACCGAGACACAGGACTGCAGAAGGCAAGATACTGGACAGGTGATCTCAGGTGCTTCTCTATTCTACAACATCAAAATTATATGCTTAAATTAGATTGAATTATTTTTAAAAACACATTTAGGTTTTATTTGTCTGGATCTGCCTAAATAATAACACTGATAGTGGGGTATTAATTGCCTGCCTTGGTTTCAGTCTGCCTCTGATCTCAGCACTGTTTATTCAGGGTCTAAAACTATTCTGCTAAAATTCATTTAAGATTATTCTGTCTCCTTCTTCAGTCTATAGCTCCATTAGTGTCCTTACTGTCACTAACAGGCTCTTTCCCATACGGTGCCTTTCATTTAAAAACAAACAAATCACCACTGTATTAATTTTGAGAGAATAACACCTCCTCAGGTAATGTAAATTCATAAGGCAGTTTCCAAGACATGCCAGCAGAGACCAGTCTTGTCCCCCTGTGTTCACCAATAACCTGTCGAAAGGAAAGGCCTTGTAGGCCATGAATTCAAAGGAGTGAGAGGGAGAGAAAAGAGGAAAGACGTTTGCTTGGTTTTTATTTCCATGTGTGTCATAAGATGCTGTGTAAAACTTCAGAAAGCCCTGGGGAAGAAAATAAGGTGAGAAAGGACTAATGGGTAGAAGTGAAGGTAGTTTAATAAAGAAGAAGCAAAGGCTGCATGCAGAAGCAAAGGAAAACAAAAAGATTTATTTTCTGCTTCCCATCTGCAGGTGACGTTCAGCCACCTCCTGGGAAGTAGGGCCTTAGTACATGTAGCAGTTGCTCTGGAAGACAAAAACCTTAATAACAAATGTCCCCCCTCCTCCTCCTTCCTCTTAGATTTTTACTGTTGGGCACAATACTGTATAGTATGGAATATCTCTTTGATCAGATTGGGTCAGCTGTTCTGGTTATGTCACCTCCCAGCCTTGACAGCCCGGACCTGGACAGGCTAGAGAAATAAGCCAACAGCAACCTCATGAAGTTCAGCAAGGGGAAGTGCAAAGTCCTGCACCTGGGGAGGCTTAATTCCATGAACAAATATATGCTGGAGGAGATCCAGCTAGAAAGCAGCTAGGAAGAAAAGGACCTGGGGCTCCTGGAGGACAGCAGTTTGACCATGAGCCAGCAATGTGCTCTTGCTGCAAAGAAAGTGAATGGTATCCTGGGCCGTATTAGACAAAGTATTGCCAGCAGGTCAAGGGAGGTGATCCTTCCCCTATACTCAGCTCTGGTAAAGCCATATCTGGAGTACTGTGTCCTGTTTTGGGCTTTTCACTACAAGAGAGCTGTGGACATACTGGAGAGCGTTCAGTTAAGGGCTACAATGATGATTAAGGGACTGGAGCATCTCACATAGGAGGAGAGGCTAAGAAAGCTGGGACTGTTTGGCCAAGAGGGAAAAGGCTCAAGAAGGATCTGATTAATGTATATAAGTACCTGAAGGAAGACTGCAAAGAGGATGGAGGCATGCTTTTTTCAGTAGTACCCAGTGACAGGACCATTGGTAATGGGCACAAACTGAAACACAGGAGGTTTCTTCCGAACATTGGGAAACAGTTTTTTACTGTGATGGTGATGGAGAACTGGAACAGGTTGCCTAGGGAGGTTGTGGAGTCCTCATGTGTAGAGAAATTAAAAAACTGTACAGTCACAGTCCTGGGCCACTGGGCCTAGGTGGCCCTGCTTGAACAGGGGGGTTGGACAAGGTGACCTTCAGAGGCTCCTATCTCAACCATTCTGTGATTCCATGGTTCTCTGATTCTACAAAACCCCCCCAGTAGTTGCAAGATGACCACATCACATAGTATAGCATCGTTATCTGCATAGAGATGTGACTTTACCACTTCTTATATCATCTTCTGAGTAGCCAGTATAACCTCTAGACTACAGGTAGGCTGTTATTGACAAACTGCTGTTCATTACAAATGTACAGCTGCTTACACAGATGTTCCTGAGGTGTCACTGCTGAGCATCTAAAACAAGTACCTTTGACTATGGCTTCTGTAGCTACAGCTCCCCTGCCACCTTCTACAGCAGGAGACAATGGAGAGTAAATAAGAAGACAGGGAGTGCAACAAGGAGGAGAGTAGCTGTTTTGTATGAAACTTCTTAGAATAGATGCTTTTATTTTTTTGGAGGGCCACTTCAAGCTGGCAAAAAAAGCACTGCATAGGATAAAATTGTACCTCAGAGCTCGAATAGGGAACTGTGACAGACATGACCACTAGAGATCTCTGTGGGTTCCTTCCTGCTGCTGCCTGGAGACTGCACAGCTGTGGCCGGTCAATAGCCAGCTCAGTAATCTGCCCAGTGCTGAAGGCTACTGATAAGTTTGTTTTCACAGGGCCTTAAGATTTGCATTTGCCACTCTAAACTAAAAATGTTCAAGAGTGGAAAAATAGAAAGGGAACATTCCTCTGTTATGTTTCCACAGCTGATAAAGCTGATTTTCAGTGTTTATACAAGACATCTTAGCTATGACTGTAATACTATGATTTTTCAGGAACTGGTAATTTATTAAAAGATAATTTTAAAAAAAAATTTTTCAAAAAATTAATCATCCAGAGGTCACTCCCATGGTGTTTATATATCTTAATGACTTCAGCATAAGCTACTTTTCCTAAAACTTTCACAGGGCATTTGGATCACCAGTTCCAGACAGCAACAGAGTGAATGTGTTCAGTACCTGTGTAAAGATGATCTCTATATAAGATCAGAGGCTGAAGAGAATAAGGAACTCAGTTTGTCTCTGCTATGGGAGAGACAGTGTTTTCCCAGTGCTTCCCCTGCTATACATCTGTAGCCTGATATGAATGGTCAGTAGATCACAGACCTGAGAGTGTTCTGAGAAGCAGATGAGTTGCTCCCTGGGAGCAAGAAATGGGGTGTTACACTTGTTGTCAAGCAGCTCCTAGAGTCAGAAGAATATTGGCTACCAGTGTATGCAAGGAGCTGACTTTTTCAGAAATTGCCTTTGGGAGGACTAGGGTAAATCTGGGATGCAAATGGATTTAGACCCTTCAGAGCCTTCACTGTGTCCACCAGGCTGAGACCACAACGAACATGGATCTTGATTTCCTTAGCCAAGAACAGGTTAGCTTCTTTTAGAGCTGAGCCTGGAAACGGAGCACTATTTATGTAACACGGTTGATCAGGAGAGTAGGACCCTGGCATGAAATTGAGTGATTCATCCTCACAGCACAGAAGGCCCCTAGCAATTTTGGTGAAATAGAGCATGAGGATCTTTTACAGGCCATGCTCCCAGCTGACTCCCACTCCTTGCACTCACCGGCTGTTCTTATTGTCTCTTTCTTTTGCTGTAATCAGACAGTATGTTTCCCTTCAGCATATCTAGCTTTGCCATGGCAGTAAGCAGCATAGTACATTTGCTACCTCTCATAGTTATGTGCTTCATATGCTATGTCTTCCATGTGAGACAAACAATTGGTCTGTGCTCAACACACAAGTATATGGCCATAGTTTCTTAAAGACACATTTTGTTCTTTTATGTGCTGTTTCCCTTTCTTTGAAGAAAAGCTAAATCCCAGATTATGTTATAAAAACAGGAGCACTGACAGGCAATGGCAGGCAGGAGAATCGTAATAATACCTTGTCCTCACTTTTCCCAGGCCTGTCACAGAAGAGCAAATAGTCCATTAAAAGCTCATCTCTGCAAGCAGTAAAAACAGAGGCACAATAGGCGCCAATTTCTGCCTTCAGCTGTCTCTCACAAGGGGAGCACCAGGTGACAGCAGCTTTTTGTAATTTCCTTTCTCTGCCCATGAGGATTTGCTGTGAAGAGATGCCTTTGTCCAGCTCAGAACTGTATGCATTTCTGTGGCAAGGGAGCAAGGGATCCTGCAATTAAGCAGTGTATGGAGCAGGTGAATAAAAGTGGTATATGGCACACTGTTGCTTGTACAGCTACCAAGAGGCTGTCCCTTCCACAATGGAAGGTATGCATGGTCCCCTGAGGATGTTTCCTCCTACCTGTACTGGTGCCATACTCTTATACCCATAATCAGAGTCTGGGCTCTCCTCCCACACCAGTCAATCTCTCACTGGGCACCTCTGTCTCAAGGCAGATCACAAATTTGTGGAAGAACCTTGAATTCTCCTTCTGTATTCTTTTCTTGGTGCTCTTGTGGGGTCTGTGGGGAGCTACTGGCCCAGAACATTGCTGTGCTTTTTCAGCACCAATCTTAAGAAGTATTTGCTGCCTTTCAGTAACCTCACACGCAATACCTCAATTCTTAGTGCTGATCTAGGGGTTTGTATTTCTGAAGGCTTTTTGTCTTTGAAGCTAGATGCTGCTGCACTGCTTTGTTTGTCCCTCTTCCCTCAAAAAAAAAAATCTGTCTCTATTCCCCCACTTCTTCCTTGTCTTTCTTCTCTGCCCCCCTCCAATCTGTCTCACTCACATTTTCCAGAGAGACTCCATCTCTCACTCAGTCAAGGTGGGGATTTTATCTTAGTGCTCAACCCCCTTACTGCACTGTGTGATCACTCGCAGCACAGAAATATATGGCTGCATCCTTGGATGTCAGATTCTTGATAGTCATCACAGAGTGAATATTATTGTTTGCTATCTGAAACTTGGCCTCACTATAACCTTCCTCATAAAAGTTCTTCATCCATGTGGAAGTAGTGACTATTAATTTCAGATTATTTCTTGGAGGCTGCTGGTACCAGAACACGTAGGCATATTCGGTATAATTCTGGTAGCAGGAGATGTCCACAGTTTCTCCAGTTCTCTTAAGGGTTTCTTCTGGCCACTGTGTTATGAAGCTTCCAACCCCAGCACCTGAATAAATGAAAGAGAAAATGTGAAAGGGAGGTGAAGAAGTACAGATGATGGACAAAAAGGGTCCTTTACCTCACATCAGCCCTGCACAGTCTGGATGAGACCCATGCTGCAGATGGATCTGTTGTCTCTCACCAGGTAAAAGAGCAAGCAAAAGAGTCAGCATGGCCCATCAGCTGTCCCACTGTCCCACAGCAGTGTGTTACTGCTCACTGTGAGTTAAGAGAGGAGAGGCTAAACAGACTCATGCCCCTCCCCTTGTTCTGATTTTTCCGTGAAGCTTGGACAGAGAAGAGAGAAGAGATAGTCCACCTTTGATACCCTCTTTGGTAAGCATTAAAAGCAAAGCTAAATATTCATCTGTAAGCTTTGTTTTACCCTCTCCACAAGCTCCTGACAAAAATGTAGGATTTCTTGCAGACCAGGAAGTTGCTAGCTGAATGTTGTACTGTCTGCCATTCCACCATCATGCATGTCTGGGTATTGGAACTGTCAGCTGTGAACCTGGGAATACTGGCCTCATCAATGAGTTTTTGACTCATTTACACCTGTGAATATAAGTTGGGCAATCTTTCCAGAAGGGTTTATTCCAGTAAATGTAAACATATACTGTTTCATTCTGGAGAGACATTAGTACCTGAAAGATGATACCTCACAACTCAGAATTTATGTTAGGTGGAAGCAAAGATGGTAGACCAAGATAACAGAGGCACAAAAATAATGTTTAATCACATCTTAATTTCTTCATTTTTCCAGTCAGGGAAGCATATTATTTCAGTTTAATCTTCCTGGGAACTCTATTTTTTCACTTCCTGATTACAAAAAGCAAGACCTTTTTTTTTTTTTTCCTGAAAGCAAAAACTGTGGTTAAACGTTGGCCTCATGAACATTCTATTTTTTCTAGTCTGCTGAGTATATCCTGATTAGCCTTGTCTTAAACCTTGTCCAGTCCTCGCTAGGGACCTGCTCTCTATCTTCCCTTTCTAAGTAAGGGGGCCAGAATTTAAGAAGAAGAGGTGTTTGGCTTAGTAGGCTTCCTAGGTGGTTGCATAGTTCCTTAGCCCCTTGCCTGTGATAGCCTGGTAGTTCTAGGGCACTTCTCCCAGCACACACATCTAAAACAGAACAGGAGGGAAGGTTCAGGAGAAGCTGGTGTAGGGCTGCATGGAACCCCACTTGTGCATGGTGGTTGTCGTTCCTCAGAGCATATATCTGTAAGGTTCATTAAGTAACTTTTATCTGTGTTACTATCTTCTCAAGATATAGGACAATGATAAGCAGTGTCCAAGGAGCAAGGCAGTCATCAACATCTCACTAGCCTGCAATGGTTTCTTTGGTTCAATCAATGTAATTGCAAACCTTGATGTTTGGGATAAACTTCCCTTGGGATAAACTTTCACAGCACACTCAGTTCCCCATGACACAATTCCCTGGAGGTTTTCAACACATACAGCTGGGCTACCTGAGCCACCCTGGAGACAAAAATTTAGAAACATAAGCTGATCTCATCTGGAAAGGTTTTGACCTAGTACAAAAAATCCAGGGAACCCAAAGTGAAGTGTAGCAAGTCCTGATACGGGAGCACAGAAAGATAGCACCTGTTCTTTGCTGACTTCCCCTACGTTCCACTGCTACTGCACTCAGTGCCCAGATGTGGCTGGACCAGGTAGCCTGGGTGAAATCCACCCTGTATTGAAACCCTGCAGAAAGGATACTGCATCAGAACAGAGAATCTGGAGACGAGGCGACCCAAGCACTCTGGCAAGCTCTGACATATACTGTGTAGCCTGAGATGTGTGACCCAGGGTTCCGTACAAACGTCAACGCTTACCTGGCATGAGTCTTTCCCACCACCCAGGAATCCTACACACATCACGTTGGTGGTGATCTGGCCTGGGTAAGCCTTGCAGCACTTTTGATGACTCAGAAATGGACCTCTCAGTCACTAGAGAACTCCTTTGGTTTCAGATATACCATGAGTTACCACACTGGATTCCCTTCTATTGCTAGGTACCATATTGTGAGTCTGATGGCTTTGCAAGATTTGGCTAGCATCCACTCTTATGATTTCTAGCAGTGAGCAGCTGGCGAGTCCCACTGGTTGTTGAGTGAACAACTGTAGAATGCATACCCAACATTCAAGGCCACTGGTAGGCAGCAGAATGCTCTGGACAGTTGTAGCCTCCCACAATCTTGTTATTGTCATCAGCCCCAGAAAAAGCAACTGAAAGAGACTTGAGTTGCACAGTACCAGGTCTGAACCCGTTATCTTAAAGTTTAGTAACAGCCAATGAGCGGCAGAGGAATTAGCAAGAGCCAAAAGACTACAAAATTTCAGAACCCTTCACAGCAACTCCTGAAATACCCTCCCGAGTTCTTTCTGTGCTATCCTGAAACATGAGGATTTGTCGTTACCACCATGAGTCAGGAGGAGAACAGAATAGCAGAAGCTGCCAAAGAACTTCAGGAATGAAACTTGTGCAGACTTCACACTGACATGTTCACTTCCATGAAACCTCTGGAACAAAATGCAATAGCTGTGTCATGGCAGAAAGCACATGGTGCACATTTGCATAGGTTGAGAAGCGGAAAATGGCAAATAGAGCTGAGAATGCCAGCAGAATTCTAATTTCCTGGAGAGAAGTGAGTGATGAGCAAGGAGGAATAAAGCCCTGATAGTGAAGAAATCAGAGAGAACGCGAAGGCTCTGCAGAGTCTGATCTTTTAGTACAATGTGAGAATGAATATGTAACGTATTTGTTGAAACCACTAGAACAGTGGTCAGCAAACATTTGGCATCCGACAGCTGTCTCAGTAAAATACTTTGGAGCGTGCATCTCCAATATAAGAATAG